TATATATATATATATATATATGAGCGCATTATTAAAAGAAATTATGCTGCATATTTTATCAGATTTATCAGAAGCCTTCCCTTTAATAATTTTATTTTTCGGTGGATCTTTGGTTTTACATAAGAATGGTAAGCATTCGCCATGGAATATGAGAATGGCAATGACAGATACCACGAAAGTGGGACAACATGCCTCTAATATTGCGAGAGGTTGAAACTTTACTTATCTCTGCGGAATCCTAAAACTGCCAAATGAATTTGCGGCAATAACAAAAAAACACAATTCATGTATCTTTTGTTTTATATATATACTGTATAGTCTGTGACTCAATAGCAAATTTGATCTTTAATTATTTTTCAAAAAAAGAAAACATGTGATGCATATGCACACCCATGAAGGGCATGATATAATAATACTATTTCTCATTATTATCTCCAAGAAAAGTATAATTCTTCACTTCATAGTTATTTAATTAGACTATACAAAATTTTCAGTGTGTCAGATAGTGCTCAATTGTCTTCTAGAATATATTTGTAATTTCTATCCCTCTTTATGTACATTTGCGCGTGTGCAAGTGGCTGCATACTCAGAAAATTAATGATGATGGAGATTTATTTTTGTCTACTAAAAGAACAATGTAAAAGACATAATTGGTGATGATTTCTGACTTTCTCCTTCTCTAAATTTTTGTTTTATTGAGAATGCTGTGCATTGTTTCAATTTTCATCATTGTGAAATCTGATAAATCTGCAAAAATATCATATACATGCCAAGTTGCTTTCTTTGTTCTAGCTTCATCAGTGAATATATATATATACATGAGATCGACTTGAATTCTATATATGTGTCTTGCATGAGCACCAGTTTCCAAAGGCTTTTGACATCACAACTTTATGTGTATATACATGTCTCTAATAACCATCAACACAATATATATAATTTGAGTTCTGCATGCACAAAAGCATACGCGTGTATCCATCAGTACATAGTCAATTCTCTCTCCTACTTTAACTTTGACCCAACTACGACATAGTATCTCATTTGGTCCAAGCCTTTGACACTTCGTTCCCTGTGGACTCGCCCTCCCATGCATGATTTCCCATACCTTTTTGCAAACGGGACACTGGACACAGTACTCCATGCTCCAAGGACGTAACAGATCTCCCAAAATAAAATACTAGATCTTGCCCATATTTAATTACTTCTAATGCATTCTTATACCAAAAACCTTATAACGGAAAATTTTATGTTTGATGATGTGAAAACCGCAGGAAGGACAGCTTCATAACTCATAGGGCATTCTGTGATGCATTGGCGGAAGAAAGTGCGAGAATATCAGCAAATCAATTAGCTGCAACTGCAAACACGACAAACCCATTCCAATCTCTCTATGTTTTCCAAAACCAGCAACTCAGCACTTTCAAGCAATGGGACTCATCTGAAGAAAACCCTAACCCTAGCAACATTGGCAGTGGCATCCACGTGAAGCCAGAATATCAAACTTTCCACAACCCCAACCCCTCAGCCTTCGGGAAACTCCACGTGGCGACGCAAGCACCCTCCTCCATCAACGCTGCCACGTCAGCATACATGTCAGCCACTGCGCTGCTTCAGAAGGCTGCAACCGTTGGAGCCGCTGGCATCACGGGCCCTGGCTCTGTTGGGCCACAGCGAGTAATGGGTCACGTGACCCATCTCGGCGAGTTCGAAACGCTGAGCCAACTCGACCCGGTGGTGCCGGATTACATGATGAGAGGGTTCCCCACTGGGAGCCTGAGGAGCGACCGTCTCACTAGGGACTTTCTGGGACTCGCTAACGGCGGCGCGGCTGACGTTAGCACAAACGTGAATGATATGCTGGCGTTCGCGGGGGGTGCAGAGTACCACCAAGCGCACCGCCACGTGCTTCTCAAGCCACAACAAGGCTCTGCCTTTGGTTTCCTTGGGACAACCACTGCCCCCGAGACGTGGGGGAATTATTGAACAAAATCACCAAAATAATTCCATGTCTCGAGGGTAAAATAGGCAACACACTTCGCATAATTAAGTAATATATTTTGTGTTGATGGAGTCAAGAGGAGTGACGATGCAGATGCTGGCCTTTCTTGTCAGTATGCAACAGAGAAAATGTCACATGCAATAAAATTATTATTAGTCTTTTCTTCTTATCACTCGCTACCTATGTCATGTCCACAGCTTTTTCATCTTCACTTACCTATATACTCCTTTTGGCTTACTAGCTTTTTTTTCTTCTTCCACATAACATTTTGTTATAATCATATTATTAATTATTATTGTTGTTAAGTATTAATGGAACCTTTTCATTTTAATTATCACAATTTTTTTTATAAAATTCAAACTTAAAAATTTACTTTAAAAGTTCTAGTTGAGTTTCAGTCAAACTAACAACTGGTTTGTTAAAAATAATTTCCTTTTCAATAAGTTATTAATTAATATACCTTATTTCTATTTCACCCCGTTTTAATTTAATTTTATTTTTATATTTTCATATTATTTATTACATCTATATGTCATATTTTCTCTCTCTCTCAATATCTCTTGCTCCTACTCTTGTACATAAAAGATGAAATGTAAATTTAATATTTGTATATTTTTGTGAAGAAATAAAAAAGGTATATATCTTGACAGACCGTTGAAAATGAAACAGTATGGAGTGTAGATGAGGCAAATGAGGATGTGACTTATGTCGAGACTTTTTCATTCTTTATATTTATTATCTAAATGTTACTATAAAAGAAGCAAGAGCTTGAATGCATAATGTCAAGAATTTCAGTGACTGAAAGTTGAAGATGATGGAATGACCGATGCAACGCAGCACACAAATTAAGATTGGTTATGGTTATTGGGAGGCAAATTTGTTTGTCGAGCTTTAACAAAGCTAAAGCAGACAATAAAATCTGCCATTGACTTTGATATTTACACTGTTACAAACACTGCAAAATTTTGTAGTTGGTGGTAGGTAAGTCCTTCAAGCTGATGAGTTGGGAATTTCAGTATAAAAGATTACTATAAAAATGACAATACCAAAAAAAAAAAAAAAAGATTACTATAAAAATGTATTAAAAAAGGCGTCTACTAATTATAAACATGTCAGTCCTTTCAAGGTCTGTGTATATCAAATGCACAGTGAAAAAAAAATCATATAACTAATAATAGTAAAGAATTCTCTCATTTGATAAAAGTGGATTTTTTTTTATATTCAAAAAACATAATTTCTAAAAATTATAAATTCTGAAAATTATGATTCTTAAAAATAATTAAAATATATTTTGATTATTCATAAAGTTTATTAAAAATATGGTTAAAACTTTTATTTGGTTCCTTATAATATTTTTTTGTTTCAATTTGGTCCCCAATAATTTAAATTATTACAATTTGGGACTTCTGTCCAAATGATTTAAACGAAATTAACTGTTGGCCATATAGATGTCAGGTGGATGTCACGTAGATGTCAAATTTCTTGAATACACCTGGAACCAGAACGACACGTTCTAGTTGCACTCTTGGTGTGTTAATTTTGTACATGGAACGGGACGTTTTGAATTCAAAACGGCCCGTTCCAGAACGCCAACTTCATGCAACCAAAATGGCCTATTCTGATTTCAGAACGGCTCGTTCTGATGCACTCATGGTGTGTTAAATTTATATTTGAAATGGTCCGTTCCAGTTGCAAAATCAACTTGGCAAGGTTAAATAATTAAGAGGGATAAAAATAAATAAATATATCATAATAATTAAGAGGGATAAAAATAAATATTTTATTTTATTCAAATAAATAAAATAATTAATTAAAAAATATTAAGAAATACCATTAAACTATAAAAATAAAATAGACTTTAATAATATTATTAAAATTGGCAAGGTTAAAAAATAATGAAATACAAGAAGAAAAAAAAAAAGAAATAAAGATATGGAAAAAAGAGTGTAAGAGGGAGAAAATGAAATAAAAGAAAAGATGGAAAGGGAGAGAGGAAGAAAGGGGGAGTGAGAGAGAGAGAGAGGGAGAAAGAAGGAGAGAGAGAGAGGGGGGGAGGGAAGAAGAAGAGGAAGCTAGAGATGAAGAGAGAGAAAGGAAAAAAGAGAAATAGAGAGAGAAAGACTTTATGTTTTATAAAAAATATTGTAATCTTTTTATATATATTAAACTTTCTCTTTAATTCAAAAAAGTTAAATTTTCACGCTCATGTAAATATTTTTGTGGAAAAATTGGATGCCTGCCTATCCTTAGTATCTATTTTAATTAATCTTTTTCATTCTATTTTTATTATAATCTTTAATAATTGTATAAATTATCAAGATAAATTTATTTTTTTAATGGAGATAAATTTAAACCTGGAATTAAAAAAAATATTACAAAATGAAAGAATTATTTAATACAATAAATTATTAAATAGGTAAAAAAAAATTCAAATTTATTTAGACAAATAAATGTTAGATAAATTTTGTTAAATTTAGTCCTTCTATCATAAAATGCTCAATTTGATTTCACTATTTTTTAAATGATTTAATTTGATCTTCTAATTTTTAATATTATTTTTTGTCTGATTTTACTAATATTGTTAATAGTAATTTAAATTCAAGACGGGCAAAATAGAAAGCGACAATGTTTTTTGAGCAATCTATGGATGTTTAGCTTTATAAGTTAATGATTGCTATGGAATATGGATAATGGATGTTGTTATTTGTTAAACACAAACATGGATACCTCCCTATTTTCAGCAGGTAGCACTTCACGCTCCTCTACTTTTCCTTATTATATTATTACTCTATCGTATATGTATTGCATTATTTTATATACTGTAGTGTGCGTATACATACTTTTAAATATGCAAATATATACAACTGTATTTTTAATATTTAAACTCAAAAAGAAAAAAATAAAGAAGAAATTTGATTTGACACAATCAATCATACATATAATATCCAATAATATTATTCGTTATGTGAATATATTATCATAAAATTAGTCTTACATACATATCAACATATTTGTATATGCCTGAATTTTTTATACATTCTATTTAATTTAACATTCATTTATTTATTATCTAGTTTTTATTCTACTATAATCATCATAATCATCACCATCATAAAAAAGTACTGATATTTTTAAATTACTTTTCCATTATCTAATTTTAATCCCATTATAGTTATTATTGTTAAAATGTACTAACTTTTTCTCATATTTATCAATTTTGATTACACAATTCTCATTCTTCCACTGTCTAATTTTCATTCCATTACAATTATCGTACTATTATTTTTCATCCTTTTCTCAATTCACTCTTCTATTATTTAATTTTCATCTCATTACAATTATCATCAAGATACTAATTTTGTCTTCATCTTTTTCTCAATTTTAATTACACATAACTCTAACTTCTCTATTGTCTAATTTTTACCCCATTATAATCATCATTGTTAGAAAGACACTATGTTTTGTTCATATTTTTACTCAATTTTAATTACACATAATTTTAATATTAATTGTATTTGATCATTAAGCATTTTTTTTGCCAAAACCTAATAATTATAAATTAAAATACTATATATAATATTGCTACAATTAATTATTCTTAATTATAAACAAAAACGCAAATAATATATAATTATTGATTATTAAAAATTAATGATTATTAAAAATTAATGATTATTATAAATAATCTCATTTATTATATAACTATTTGTAATTAAAAATATTAGAAAATTTCATTTAATAGTTTAAACATAAAGTTAAAAATATTTTATTAAAAATTTATAAATGTTACAATAAGAAATAATGTATAAATATAAAAGATGTTTAATAAGAAAAATTTGTTTAGAAAAATGATTAAAAGTAGTTTTGGTTCTAATAACACTTGTATTAAAAAAAGTTACTAATTTATTTATTTATTTTTTATTTTTACAGGTTAGTTTGAAAATGATAATTGAATTACACACAATAATATATAATTGAGTTTGAATTAAATAATTTTAATAAATATGTTATAATGAATATTATAATAAAAAACGGTATGACTAATCTTCAGACACAAGATGCTACCACTTCTATTAACTAATGTTGGTAATGAATATATA